AGTTGCAAAAGTGGATATGTCCACCCTCAATCTGACTGACCCGGAGGCTGTTACCGACTGTGAGAAGATGACATTTTTAGGCTATCATCAGAGAAAAACAAGCTTTTATGTAAGGCATTAGAACATGGACAAGTGTGAGGTAACTTGAGTGTCTAAAAAGAGTAAAAAGAGTGAATCGAGATCAATTGTTCGTGAAGAGATAAAATGTAGAAAGCGGATAAATATTTTCGTTTATACGCAAGTTTTGAGACTACTAGTAAGTCGTTAGATGAGGTGTATTCAGCCTATTTTGTCTAATCTGATAAAGGCCCGGTAATTAAATTGTAATTAAATATGATAAATTATTATTTTCCAAAGCCTACTTATACACGAAAAATAAACAATGTGGTCGATTGTCATAGAAAGTACAGGTTTGCTCCTTTGAAAATCCCACCAGCGCGAAATGCAATGTGGGAAAAGCATCACCTTCACTGAAATATGGTAAAGACATCTCATATGAAGGTTGGCTTTGCCGAAGACAAGCTGAAAAAGGACGGATTGGCAGTCTGAGCGGAATCGAAAAAAATTCGGTGTAAGCAAGCTCTACAAAATCACGATGCTTGGATCAAGAAGTTAGTTTAAAGTGGAAGAAAAGGGATCCCAAGAAAGAGGCCTTCGAGGGATCAAGTCAAGGAACCAGCAAGGAAAGTTGTTTGCTTGCTTTGTAAGGGAATAAGAGGACATGCAGGTAAAGATAATCTTGAAATTGTCGCCAAATCTTCTACATTTCTAGTCGAGATACGTTCCAGAGGTCAGAGGACAAGGATTAGAAAGTTCATCTCATCTGACACCGACGGAGGCTTGCTTTTCCGATGGGCTTTCTGTGACGTTTGTTCGCTCAAGAGCCAGTCTCCACGACGATTTAGCCCTAATTCAGAGGAATAGTTGATTGGAGGGAATATTTGTTGAAATCGTGCTTTCATGCCAATTGTTCAAATATGGCTTTCTAGCTCTGGCAAAGTGTTTCACAGCGGAACAGACGAGATTTGAGCCCAGTTGGCTCGGACGGATGGTACGTCTTCGGACAAATGCACAGTCACATCTGCCCAACGACAATCCCTTCCAGACCAAATGTCTCATCTGCGACGTCCAGCCCGTCGGTGGCACGAAAGGATTCCTTCAAAACACACTTTTCCGGCCAAATGGGTAGACGGTCTGTGAAGGTATGGACCGAGCATGAGATGCACCAACCCAAAAAGAGACACAGATTTGAGTTGACCCGAATTGGTGGAGAAATCGGGAAAGGTCTTATCAACCGAGCCAGCTTGAAGAAGAGAAGAGCGCCTCACAGAAGCCATTCAAAAAACGCTGGTTTGACGTAATTGTTGCTATTTGCTCCTGGCGTCATGACGACTCTGTTATGGGTGCTCCCATTGCGTTGTCTATCCTATGCGTCATAAAGATGGTTCGCTGAATTTACGGGAATTTCTGTATCACTCCATATTTTCGTCACATTTCTGTACGCCTTCCAGATCAGCCGAAGAAGCCGATGAGGGCTGAGAGAAAAAGGGAAGACTGCAAGATCGTGCCGAGTCGTTGCATGCTCTTCTTCTCGCATGCGGCAGAGACACAAGATTCCTTTTCACTTGGTTTAGTTGGTTGCCAGGTTTTCTTGACTCGTTAGCTTCAATTTGTTTGTGATGATGCTCGTCATGTGACGCACGAAAGCTTAGCACCTTTTCACTGGAATCGAAGGAGTGAAAGTTTTGGGTTAAGAGATTCGAAGGTCGGCTCCAACAAAAGACGACGGCGGATTCCTCTTGACCAGCTGTCGATTGGCTTTACTTGAAGATTCATGCTGACGCTGTTTCCGAGATAATCTCATTCGATTCCGATTAAAAGGTGGTAAGCTTTCGTCCGTAACATGACGAACCTCATCGGAGCGAGGTAACATCGTCACAACAAAAATCAAGCTAACAAGTCAAGAAAACTCACCGGAAAATCCCTTAAATGTGGTATATATACTATACATCTTGCAACCAAGTTCACCGTCTGATGCTGAAAATCATGACAACTACTCTGGCAGACGAGGTCGGACTAGGTGCGTTCTACCAAGTCGCCCTGACAACAAGACCAAGTTGCGACAACGAGGTCACCCCACTTCTAAAAATCGAGTCGAGACTGCGACCGCATCAGAGGCCATACCATCTGTCTTCATATCTACTTTGTTGAGCTTACTTCCATTTCGAGTGGAAGTGTTTGGTGAAGAGATTCGAAGGTCGGTTCCACCAGAATATAACGCGGATTCCTCTTGACCAACTGTTGATTGGCTTTACTGGAACATTCATGCTGACGCTGAGTATTTATACCACTTTTTAGGGATTTGCTGATGAGTTTTCTTGACTCGTAAGCTTGAATTTTGTTGTGACGATGTTACCTCGCTCTGATGATGCTTGTCATGTGACGCACGAAAGCTTAGCACCTTTTCACCGGAATCGAAGGAGGTTGCCTCGGAAACAGCGTCA